AGTCATCTAAGTGTGTGGAAAAGGGAGTTGAGAATACATTTTTGGGCAGATAATACACATGTGCAGACTGTGCTGCTAAAATAATCTTTCTGGGTCAAATGTAAACAGAACTTGAATAGATTAATACTGCAGGTGTCACAATACAGTTACCATAGCTATAGAACAAATTTCTAGTGGATTTTTATTTTACATTAGAAACTTGTGCCATGGCAACAGCAATGCATGTTAAAGATGTAACTCTGTTGTAATTTATCTATTACAACTCCTTTCATTACTGCTGTTAGCAACTGTTATTCTCCTGAATGTACTTCAGTTTTGAATGTGGAATCTCTTGAGATACAAATGTGAATAAGCTGATATCCAACTTTACGTGAATGCAAAATTCACAGTATTTAGTATGTTCCTGATTTTCTTACCATGATCTGTAGTCTTGGGGTCAGATTCAGAAAAAAGATATGTGAGTTTGATGAAGGATCTGTAAATTCTGTCTCTCAAATACTTAAAGTGAGAAATGGTATTCCACAGAGTTCTATATATGTACCATACACAACTGTACTGGGGTGCGCTAGTGTGTAAATAAATAGCTGGTTGAATTGCAATCTGCTGCCTAAGTGCAAGTTTGGTTGTATATAAACTGGTGATAATAGCAATATGTATCTATGGCTTTGAGATTATGGCAAAACTGAGTTCATTTGTAGTTCCAAATGTAAATGTTTTCCATGCAACACTGATACGTCAGTATCACAGTGATTTTCAGAAGTAATCCACTCAGATGAGTAAGCTGTACGTGCACTTTTAATAACACTGAAGATCTGTCAAAATGATATCTATTTGTGTTTTGGTATTTAGGATACTATTTACAAGTAAAAAGATAAGGTGGTAAGAAAAGCAGTATCTGGGAAGGAAGCAAGATCTCTTTCTGTTGATTTTAGTTTAAGATTACAAAAAGAAATATTCTTGCAAAAAGAAAAAATAATTTATCATAAGCAGAAAACTTCTCTCCATTGGGATTCAATCCAAGAGCTCGAACTTCACCTATTCTCTCTCCCTGGTATCCCCCAACTCTTACTTAAAGTCCCTTCTTGGAAGACTTATTCAAAAGCCCATGAGAAAGTAAAACTGGTATTATTAACTTACTGTTCACTGAGTAGAGACCTATACAATGTAATTACATATCATATAATTTTTTAGTGCTGTTTAAGTTGGTTGAAACAAATAAAAGTAAAGCATCTAATGGAAAGGTTCAAAAGCATATGATAAAGTTAGGGAATACACAGTAAACACAGTAGGAATGGAAAATCTGAATTTCTCAGATATATCAGTAGATTTAAGATTAACCACACAGGACATTGATCATCAGTATAGACAATTTAATGAAAGGATTTTTTTCATTGCACTGCAGTATTCAAAAGAACAAGAATTATTTTAAATGTTTAAAAAGAGATGGGAAATAGTACATAAAATACCACCTTTTGTGCATCACTAATAAGCCTCAAAAGAAATAGCAATTTCAGTATCAGTTGACTTAAAATTTATGGTAGAAATATGCAACAATAAAAAGACACCAATCTCAGATACAGGTAATTATTAAAAGCTAAGGAAGGAATTTTTTTTTTTTTTTTTTTTTTAAGTAAAGTTACCTATTTTAGCAAGGATACAAAAGAAGCATTATGTTATCCTGTTTAAGGATTTCATTCTTTTAAGTTCCTGAGACTGACACCTTGGATGTCCACATGAGCAATGAAGACATGTACTTGCAGTTTTAGATACAGTGCAGTTTGAAGAGATTTAGTATCTCATGCCTCAGGTCTTAGGTCAACAAATATTGACTTGGTATAAGAAGGAAAAGCATACTCAGGCAAATTATTTTTTGACTCTATATTGCATGGATTATTTTTCTCCCTCTATGATCATGACCATATTTTATTTTTTCCTGACAACCCTAGTCTTTTTCATTGCCCAATATAGATGTGGATTGCATTGCTCAAAATCATGGAGTGAAGAAGGCATAGTTATGAGATTTTTGCTTCCTTTATTATATAATTAGCAAAGCTCTTAGTTAAGGCAAAAGGTATCAAAGAAAAGAACTGACAGCTGAGGCAGCTGTACAGAGAACGCTCTGTCTCTACCAGAGCTTTTGTTATGCTGATCAAGACAGACCAAACTTAATCCATGGAGTCATTAATAGCATTCCTTGTTTGGTTTTTTGTTTTGGTTTGTTGTTGGTTTGGGTTTTTTTGAATGCTGAATTTGAGATATTAGGGGTTTCATTTATAGAACTACCGAAGTCAATAGCAACTTACTTTGAAAATATTCTGTGTTATACAATGTTAAGTACTCTGAACAAAGCAAATCTTAAAGAATTTCTAATTGAATGCCTGAAATTTGTGGACATTTTCAAGATTATCTCCTTGTGCCTTATCTCCTATTTATCAAACTAGGATGTTATCACATTGCAGCCTCACCCTGTAAAGATCCATTAGTTCATACTTGTGAACCCCTTAGATAATGAGCATCATAAAAAATTTGAGGAGGTGCTTGAATAACTTGATATTCAAAGAATAATTTCATTGCTGTGCAGTAAATAGGTAACATGATCACTCTTTTTGAACAAGGAGAATATAAAATGTTGCAGAGCTTCTCCTTCACTGAGCAAACTTCATTCTGAACCCTATATGAAACAGGAAGGGGTTTTTTTGAAAAATAGCAGATGATCATAGAAAAAGTGAAATACAGTGCTGCTAACACATAAGAAGACTAAAGGTTGCACAGGCAACCTTCATTTTCATCTTTCCTGGCTTCCTTAAAGTGTTTGTGTGAGTATTTAAAGATGGAAATTATACCTACAGTAGAATATATATATTTATATATGCACAGTACAGTAACTGTACTGAAAGATTAAGCTGAATAGGTTCATACAATGTACTTAGAGTCTTTGAATACATTGCAAACAGCTGCCACTTCAACTAACAAAATAACCAAAAGTAATGTTTTGATATGCTGTCACTGCACCACTGCTAGAAAGTGGGACATACACATACTTTCTAGTGGTGACAACATATATTTACTGACCGCAGAGGAATGGGAGTTCTCAGAAACAACATCTTTTGTTTACAGTAGTAAACTGAACAAAGTCAGGGCATGAGATGACGTTGGTGCTTGGCAGTCTGTACTGTTAAACGGTTGTGTGGGTGTTGGCAAGATTTGGCCAATACTGAATAGTATAGTCAATACAGTTAACAGAGTACAGGGAGTCATTCAGCTGACCAGCCACAACACACAGTGATTGGTATCACTCTCTAGGATCCACTCACTTTTTTCAATCTGATCTGACTATGGTGGGAGCTTACATACTTCTTACCCAAATAGATGTGTAAAATGAGATGTCTTAATCTGGGGCGGAATCCTATCTACTGAATTTTTCAGGTAAGGGAAAAACACCAGTCAATCATTATTTGCATCATTTATTTTTCATTTTAAGTTCACCTTCACAATTGCAGACATATAATTAATTCAACCACTTGTACAAATCAAAGAAAGTGAGAATGTCCTATGTCCTCCTTTTCCCCCTGCTTTTTATCCCCAAAACAACTTTTCTGGTGTTATAGATTCCTTAAACTCTGTCTTTTGTCCCACATTCAACCTTTCACCATAACACCCCACACCTTTTTAGTTGCAAAATGCCTTAGATGTATATTATAGTCATATGTTTCCCAAAGTACAAACAAAGAAGAAAAGTAGATTTTCTTAGGTTGCACTAATAATCTTGGTTAGGATTTTATCATGATATTTTAACCAATAAGAAAAGCATGTAATTTTACATTTGTAAGCTGCTGACTAGTAAAAGAGATGATGGTGTTTTGAAGAAGAATCTTTCTTCTATCATTCATATATTCAAATACTGCCTCTTTCTAGAAGTGATATTTTGAGATTTGTGGGTTTTTTTACAAGCACGTATTTTAGAAAACAGGAGGAAAATGCCTGATTTCTTTGCAAATTATGATATGATGCTATGTTTGATTCCCTCTGGTAGCTAATGCCATGCATACAGTCCTGCAGTTAGAGTCTACATATGAACATACAGCTTCTAGCAGGAATGAGATGAATGTATTTATCTTTAATGAAGTAGTTATAGACATGCAACTGTTAGTAGGGACACAGTTATTCTGAGTAGAGTATGCTAACTTAATGCCATGTGGATAGTAATGTTATCCACACGAACACTTTAAATGAGGCACCACAGGCAGAAGGACTCTTTTTTTCCTTTTTTTTCTCCTAGTTCAGGCATAAAAAGAGGTATACATTTTCAATAATCCAGTCTGAATGGTGCCAAAAAGTGCATTTTTCTGTAGTTCCTTTTTTGTCTATGGTAAATTGCATATAAAACTTGTTTCAAAAAAACTTGATTTCCTATTCCTTTTTTATTCAATGGTTACTATTACTCTGCATCTATTCTCAAAAGTTCCCAGATATAAAAACAACACTCAGATCTATTCTTTAGAGACTGTCAGTGAAAAGGCATCATAGTGTAAATTCATTATTATTGTAATGACTATAAAAAGCAAAATTACTAACAATACTCCTGACAATACTGCTTCTTCATGTGTTTTACTACCTACAAACTCACTAGCAAATTCATCAAACTAAACTGTATAATTTGTACACATTTCAACTCAATAACAAATTAAAAGAGACACCATCATGTTGATGGAATAGCAGTGACCTATTTTGTTTTATAGATTTGTTTTTTTCCTGGAATTTTTATGTAACACTGAGTGGTTTTGGCGGTTTTTCAACTAATCAGGATAAAATAGTCAAGTTCAAGGAGAGAATTGTTTTTCAAGAGACTAATAAATCAATTCATGGCATAAGTATCTTCTGTTTCTTTACACAGGAAAGAACCAAGCAGCATACAAAACTCATTTTGCAGAGAGTAAGGGTTTTGTTTTTTGCAGTATTTTAATAACCCTGGTTTTTTACAAGGTACTCTCTCATTTCAGAGCATCTTTGCAAGGGAGAAACATCTACTGAAAGTGAGCTTCCTGAAGGACACCCCGCTGAACAGTTTGCAGGTTTACTTCATGGATCATCACCTGCCTGTGATCCACCTGATAATCCACTCCAGCTGTACAGCAAAGTAAACCAGTGCAGTGGTCCACTAGAGAAAAGCATTTTGAGCAAGAGCGCACTGCAGCAGGTACAGCTCAGGAAGGAAAGCAACACTGATCCTCCTGTTAAGAAAAAAAAACCACCAGTTGTAAACCGAACCATATTCCATACTAAAACTAAACCAGTAGAAAATCATACATTGGTTGGCACATCAGCAAGGATAAGTGAACAGTGGGTTATTACCACTGGGGGATTTGTGGAGCGAGCATGCACACTTGGGAGAATACGATCTTTACCAAAGACTTTGCTTGAAATGCATTTGTGCAAAAATGTTTCAAAATCTGATTCTAATCTTATCACCCATCCACCAAATGACAAAAAAGCAAGAAGCAACTGGAGCGAACCCACACCAAACCAACAGTGCTCCAAAGGGAATTCAGAGAGAACACCTTCCTTCACATCAGAATGGGAAGAAGTAAGTTTTGTTCATGTTTAAGTACAGGAGAATATATGGTATTGTGAAAATGCTGTTATTCTTTTCAGTTTTCAGAGTTGAAATAAAAAGTGAATCTTCCACACTCCAAGTCCTCAGAGAGTATTTCATAGTGTAATGCATGGTCGTTTGAAAGCTGGCACAAAATGCAAAGCATTCCTGTTCAAAATGCTGCACACTTAATGAAGTCTATTTTTTCCATAGTAAATAAAGTTAACCCAAATTAATTCTACAATTTATTATGACTTTGAAATTATTTCCTACTAAAGTCCTCACCACTGACACTAGTAAAATTCTTTGTAGCTATGCCCATTATTTATGTATTTGGTAGTTATTTCCCACCATGGCGATGCCCACCAGCAAGAGACAAGAGAAAATGGCAGGAATGAAAAGTCTACGATTTTTAGGTTGATTATACATTCTACAAACCCTCCCTATGTAACATATCCTCTAACTGGTGCGTAGCCTGGGTACAGAATGCTTGGCATATATCTGACTGTTGTGTGAGGTGGGAATACACTTATAGCTACCATGAATTTGGGACTATTAAACGTCCACACTGGGTCTGTAGTGCACATGCTTGCTCATACAAGAGACTTTGTTTTAGTTTTAGAACTAGACTTAAAATAATTTGTAGACACTTCATTTTAAATTATTTTTTTCCCTGTACTAAATTTAAAGAATGTAAATTATTATTCATAGACACAGAAGTTCCCATCTTACTGTGGTAAATTAAGAGCGGGAAATGTTTAGATTTTTACTGCCATTACAGAGAAGCAAGCATTTCTATTTAAAATGACTGCTGTGGGGAAATGTATATATCTCTGGAATGCTATTTTATTTCAGAAAGAACCCAGAGCTTGTTTGCATGACTGATTATTTTTCTAGAAAAAAGTTTACAGCTCATCCAAATGTCTGATTTGATAGAGCATCTGAAGGTAGTTTTTATTGTAAAGGAGATACCAGTGGAAAGGTACTTAGGATCAGGTTTTGATCTTAATAAATTGGATACATGGTTATGAAATCCTGAGATGGATCAGGTTGAAGTTTGCCTTTTTAGGTGGACGTCATAGAATCACAGGATCTCTGTATCTGCCTTTTTAGACAACACCAGCCTTTTTATTAACTTTTTGGTTTGTCCCGTTCTTATGGAAAATAAAATAGTTAGAATAGTTTTGACATAGTAAGTTCAATGTAATTTAGAAATGTGCAAATGGGTTTTGGGATCAATGTAGTGCTGTTTCACAAACAATATCATTCTGCAGTATGAGGGGACCCAGCTGTGTTTCATACTTATTCAGTGGCCTTGGGGCAGATGGAAAAAAAAAATTATCTGGAAATCTTAATTGAACAGTTGCTTTAGTACTTTTTAACACACAAAACAATATTCTTATGCATCAATATTGCTGCCTAAATAGACCTCTAGTGGTTATACCTGGATGACCAGAACTGTAGTGTAGAAAAGGAAGTAATAATCTCAAGCTTTAGCATTTGCTAGTGTACAAATGTTGGAAAATAAAAATCAAAGTGGAGAAATTAATTGTGTAGCTTTGATTTTTGCATTTTGCAGTCTTGATTGTTGTTTTCCTAATTAAAGTAATTGTGCCATAAATTTCTGCATGAAAAACTAAAATAAAATAACAAAGATGGGGCCCATCAATTGTTTTCACTGTTCTCTCTTTTGTAGATTGATAAAATCATGAGTTCAATAGATGCTGGAATTAATACTGGACTGGGGGAGATGAATGATCACACTACAAGTAAGGAAAAACAACTATTGTTTCATTTTGACTTAACTGTCTATAGGGAAACTGTAGATAAGATATTGTTAAGTAACCCACTGTGCTGAAATCATTTGTAGATATTTGAATAACCATGAACAGAATTAATGTTTTTTTACTGTTAGAGGTGCATTAGGCCCAGTATCCTAGAGCTGTTACTTTAAATAGCATATTGGAGTCATTAATGTTGTTTTGAAATCTTACCAGAAAAAAATATTCCATTAATGTCTTTGTACTGGAGCCTTTCTGCTAGGGGTGTATTTTCCAATCTTTTCCAACTGAGTTTTTGTTTGGAATGGTGGGACCCTGAGTATATATAATCCAATAGCTGCTCACACTTTTTAAAGCATTATATTATCTAATGCTCCTTCAAGCAAATATTTGGCACAGGACTGAAAATGTTGCTGACAGTCAGTGACTGTTGTTAACAATGACAGGGAAATTTGCAAACCTTCCCTACCACGGTGAATTCTAAGAACTCTAAGTCATGCATAGCCTGTTGGTGTGTCAGCCTAAACCTGTGCAACTGTGCTGATAAGAATTTTGAAAGTATTTTACTATGTCTTCTTCCTAACTAATAGAAGGAAAACTGACTTGTATGTCTGAATAATTTGTTTTTGAGGCAAAGCTATGTTAACTCACCTGTACTGGTACATCCTTGCTAGCAATTGCATGCAGTTACTTGAGTTTATGTATTGGGCAGGAGACAATGTACCTTATTGCTTAAAATTTTTAAATAATTGAATTTTAACAACTGTCCATTTCATAGAACAGTGCATCTCTACAGGTTGAAACTGTGTCTTATCAGGTAAATAGAGTAGACACAGCTATTTTAATAGTACCTGAACAGTGAGAAAAGGATCTAGGAAAAAGAGAAAAATAACTGATTTAAATACAAATATAATTGCAGATAAAACAAGCAGATTCAGATTTTTTTTTTTTTTTTAAAGAATAAGGGGCAATATCACAAAATGAGCTGGGCATGTTGCCCTGGAAGGCTGTTTTTTCTTTCTGAAACTTGCAGTGTTGGAAGGGAGAATTATTCATAAACTCTAGGTTAGGACATAGTTAACAGTTCCTGAAGATATTATAAGTAATTCAAGATTTGCTGCTTATTATTTTTTATCATGGTAGTACATAGGCATCAAATGCAAAATCTGAGTTATTTTACTCTAATTATTAAATTGTTCTTATCTCGACCTATAAGTCTCCTGACCTTTACCACTCCAATTCTCTCCCCGATTCCCTGGGTTGGGGGGGAAGGGGGCAGTGAGTGGCTGTGTCTTGTTTGGCTGCCAGCTAAGTTAAACTATTACAGTCATCTATTAAGAAGTTGCACAGCAAGTAAGAGCTATGAAAAGGAGACAAAAGCAACGGGATGCATATGCAAATTTGCATAACTTAATGGTGTGTGAGTGCTACTCCATCCCTTCCTATGACTGACCACTGCTTTTCTTTTTCTACTTTTTTCTTTTAAGATCAGAAAATATTGCAAAACTCTTGTCATCATTTATTTTGTGGCTTCTACCACATGCTTTATTTTGCTTGGCATTCAAATGTGGCATTTGATTCTTCAGCTCTTTCAGTTGGCAGGAGATCTACTCTTTCCTTCACTTCTTCTTTTCCCAGAGGCGACTTTGAGTCCCAACTTTTATTCTATTTGGTGTACAGCTTCCTGCAAACCAACATTTTTTCTTTTCTATCAACTCCTTAATGGTCTTTAGCTAGTTTAGAATGACAATCTGATTTTGCTTTCAGTGAAGAAATCAAGCTATGTTTTATTAATCAAAATACAACTACTTTTTAAAAAAATTAATCAATTCTGCTGTGTGGGCAGATTGCAATAAAGACACTTCTTTCTGCTATAGATTTGGCTATATGCAGCTTCACACGTATGTTTTCCACTTTTCATTCTTTATGCCCTTTCCAGGTTCAGTCAAATACAGTTTAGGCAGCAAAGCGAACTATTGTCATACCAAATGCATTAAATGCGTTATATCAAACATGTCATACTTCAAGTATATTATTATTTTTAAAAAATAGGGTTATCTAGCAGAAAATAACGAGTCTATTTCTCACGGTTAGCAGACTGGAGTAACCAATGAAGTGGAGATATACTGTAGTGCTAGTTATATATTTAACAACAGATTTTACTTAAGATTTTAGCTTGTGTTAATTACCACTTATTAACTACCACAAGATAATATACAGGTTTTTCTTACTGCTAATACAACCTAAGAGATTTTTTGATAGATCTTTGGCCCCAATGAAGGGGTTGCTTTGAAGTTTTCCTCAGCAAACCATCTTTTTTTGTGTGTGCTGCTTCTATTTAAGCTCCTAAAGTTTATTGGCAAGAAGTGTCTCAGGTACCTCAGTGTTCCTCAGAGGTGCCTCACATAGCCCCTGTCTAACTGCTTACAGATGCTAGCATTGTCTGGATCCCTACGTGTTTTACTTAGGGTTTTATCTTGCCCAAATGTTGTAGTACTGAGGACCTAAATTCCAGCTTGGAACTCCTTGTTTGCCTTCTCTCTTCTCCTTCCTGGCTGTGTGCTAAGCATAACACAGCCAATGTGAAGATCTGGCCTATGCTTAGGAGTAAAAATTAAGTAGTATGGTATCAGGAAAGAGCATTTTGAAATACTTCATCAGTTTGTATGTAAATATATGAGTTTTGTGGGTTTCACTTGAATATATGCTTAAAAAGATTAGTAGAGATTAAAAATAATGTATTTAATATTCAGTGTGTACAAGTCAGAGATTTCTCTTAGTGTTGAACAGAAAGCATCTAGATTATTGAGCACTATATTCAGGAAACTTCACTTTTCTTGTCTAATAACTTTTTAGCAACCAGTAAAATTTCTGATAATACTGAAGAGCAAATGTAGCTTGATATGGAATCCTTCATTTTAGTAGTTACTTAATCCTATCCTTCATATTATACTTCAGTATTTTTATGAACTGTTAGTAAAAACAAAAATATATTAAATTCAAGCACAAATATTCTTAATCTACCAGGAATGAAGAGCTTTTTGTACTACTACATATTATCTCATTCTCAGTTAAAAATATTTGAGAGGAAATATGTCATACACTGATAATTCAATAGATATATTTAAAAGTAGATAATAATAACATATTGTGATTAAATCCTTGAATGGATTTACAGGAACTTTGGCCTATGTTTTCCTACTAGTGAAATCTGGAAAAACTTCTTTTACATCTTCAGAGGAATCTCTTAAGAAGCAATTAGAGGAGCAGTGAAAGGAGAGAGTCAAAACTGGCTGAGCATGGTCATGAGGACTTCATCCACAGCATGCATTTGGAAAGAAAAAAAAATTAAAGCAGAGCCTTCAGTTTGATAGTAGTACAGGTACTGGAGGAGTAAATTTGAAACTACAGAGAGTAGTTGCTGATGTCCTCTGAAGGCATGTAGCATTCAACACCTGAATAGCTTACCACTGAAACCAAAAGCAGGAGTGCTGACCAGGGAGCAAGTAAGAACTAATCTCAATGATAACAGACCAAAAAAAAACCAACCCCACAAACCACTAGGACAAGGAGTACAAAACCTCTGTTACAAAGAGGAAATAAAAGATAGTACTGGCTAGTGACCTTCTACTCAAGGTGATGTGGAGACATCTGTACCACCTGGCACTCACGTTATGGCTGGTGTGTTTCTTCACAAGAGTCCAAACTTTCCAGGTTGCAAAGGATTCTACTGATCAGTAGCATATGATAAAGAATAGTAATGATACTGCCAAGAATTATCTTAAGCAAATCAGAAGTGCTTATAAGGCTCTGTGGCAGTGTATAAAGAGGTTGAACGTTATTATCTCTCCTCTCATGTCCAAGCATCAGTCAGATACACCCTAAATATAACTACATGGCTTCTATTCTGAGAGAAGATACCTTTAAGAACCATGTAGCAAGGACAAAAATCTTCATCTTTCATGCAAATTGGACATAGGTCTAACATCTGAGAAAGATAGGATTATTTCAAACAGGATTAAAGCAGTGACTAGACAAAGAGTCGTGGGTCAATTTGCCAGGTATCTTAGCTGTTGTATGCTAATGGTAGAAGAAAGAACAGAGAAGTAACGGCAGAATTAATGAGAAATACACTAGAATTCATTGAACATTATGACAATATTGGCATTGTAGAGAATTTATTATATATATTACACTAATAGTCCAGTCATGTAGAGGATGTAACTTCTTCAGTAAGAAGGGAAGAAGAAATGAAATGTTGGCTTGTATTTCAAGAATATAATGGTTTTTTGAGATCTCAAAAATAGGATTTGTTAGAGCTGTTAAATATCTGTTGGAATCCAGGAAAGCAGAAAAGAATATGGTTGTTCTTGGTATGTATCCAAAACCATTGGACTTGATAGTAATGGGAGATTTTATAAACCACAGCCTTTGTTGGGAAAGAAATTACATTGATCAACTGCCCAGGAAAAAAAAAGTCTCAAGAAGGTAGATGTGAATAAATTCAGAGAATTTATTTAAAAAAAAAATCTCTACAGTGCAAGTTAAAGAGAAATCTTCAGCAGAACACTGCTCAAGACCATAGTACAAGCTTCACCAGTGTGAAGAAAAGAAAGTGTAAAAGACTAGCTTGGCTAGATTGTCATCATTTTTTCACCTGTGAGATAATGAGGAAAATATCACTATTTACTAAGCATGGTAGAATAACATACACACATAGAGACAAATCAGAAGTACCAAAGCACTAAGTGAGATGCAACTAGGAAGAGAAATCAAGATTTAATATAACATAATTATACTAGTACATTAATAGGGAGAAGAAAAGCAAAGATATCTTTGGCACCTAAGAGGGATACTGCAGGAAAGGAAAAGCATAGTAGGTGCAAAGAATGCAAAAAACATACAATGAGTTTTTATCACATGTTTACTGAAGAGGTCATTGGTGAGCATATGGCATGCACAGCTAATCCTAGGACCAGAACCTCAAT